GAACAATATTTTTTGTTACAGCTGCCTTTGCCACCAAATTCTGGAAAGGTACCAATATATTTTTAGGAATCGAAATATTGTTGATAGAAACAAAATAAGTATTTTGCTTATATCCATAATGCATTGTTAGTTTCTGGATTAAACTCCACGATAATAAAGAGAGTTGTGCCTTTTCGCTCTCAACTACAAATTGAATAAGACCCAACTATGCCTTTGGGTTTATAAAACGATCGATTGAACGACAATACGATTTAGATAGCTTATAAAATAACCTTGTTGTCAATCGACATTTATTTGCGTGTGGCCAAATTAGAAAGAAAAAGGCATAATATGCTTACAGCGAACGCAAACGTTTCGTCCGAAATTAAGGCTGATGTTCTCTTATTTGGGATGATTTACGATGATTAGCCAAATTAAACTGCCAGTGTGAACATGTTAGAAAACTTCAAATTGATTACTTAATAAAGACGATTGCATTCAAGGCCGGATTTACCGATAAACATCAGCAACTGATGACTAGGTGCACTGCTCTAATATTTGCTTGTTAGGGACACGTACTTTTATACCATACGCTTTAGCTACATATATGTGCCCCGACTCAAAGTAATTATGCTTTTTTCCAGATTTGAATAATTACCATCTGCAACGAAAGCAGAATGATGGTTAGTAATGAATATAAAATGTAGAAAAGAAAATTCTACGAACAAAAACTGCTTTTATTAATTGAGTTTTAACTCGAGGCTACAAGAGTGCGCACCATTTATGAAGAAAGGGTAAACTATCTGAAGTAAAACATCAGCAAGATCAATTGAGCTTCAGTGGAAATGCACACTTTTTGTCAAAACATCGACGCCATTTTAGAGTATTCCAGGCGCTTGTGCAGTGATTCCGATGTCAAATTCCTGTCAGAGGAACCCTTGAAAATGTAATTACAAAACAGAAGTAAACTGTCCTGGAATTGGAGGAGAAAATTCAAAACTCAGACATTATGAACCCCGAATTACTGTACCAGTTTTGCGATAAAAATATGTTTTACTGGATCAATATTCAGGGTGGGCTTGTAAAGATCTTCAACTTCGGAATCAGTTATTTTAAACCTTTATTAAATTTATCTGCACCACACCTTAAAGACGTATACTATATCATATGAATTTCGAATCACTCGGGATAGAATTGCTTTTGAAGACCGCGTGAGCAGCGGCTCTTAGAAAGGAAGACCATGGTGCTGACGTTTCGGTGCCGTGACCAACGCGGGGCACAGCTTGAACAAAGTGCTGCTTTATCGCTCCCCTAGGACCCGTGTAAATCAAACGGGGCACCCGCCGCACGCTGACAGAGCACTCGGGTCATATCTGTGCACCACTTTTGCCTCTCTTAGTTGATACCGAATATCCAGCCCTACGTTCTTCCCTTTTAAAAGGTATTGCCCGAGGACGGCACATTTCTAAGGGCGCTTCTGCGGGCTATGCTCTTGCCCATAGAATACAAAATAACCACTAATAAAAAAAACAACAAAAAAAAACAAATAAAACTAATCTGACAACGAGTAAAATCAAAAACAAAATAAGAAATTAATTCAACGTTCTTTTTGGACATTGAATTGCAATTAGCTACCGATCCGAGCAGTCCCTCAAGCAAGGTACATAGAATTCGAGCCACACATTTGTGTTTGAAGAAATTGTGGACCAAGCTGAGGATGTCGTTTCCAACCCAAATCGTTTATTATTGAGGTTGAGTGAAATTTGGTAGTAGTTGACTGAGGATGTGAAACTTGCGATAGCATGCATTTTTATAATTTGTTGAAGTTTTCAGGCCTTCTTGTGCACGCAGGTATGTATTTTGCCCGTGCAAAGAGCTGAGTCAGCAGCGTGCTCGATTTCCACACCGCTGGAAAGGGTTTGATCCGCGCCAGTGCTTGTTCTTTTTATCTTTCTTTTGTTTGCATGATTGAAACGTTCCACATGACTCGAGAATCTTGTTTGTCTGAACTCGGAAACCCCTAGATAACAACGCGCTTACAAAAGGCGCTTCGCCTGGCTGCTTCAGTCAGTCGTCCTTACGGCGCCTTTGACGTAGCAGTTCCAACCTGGTTACCAAGTGTGGATCTGAACACCAATTCATCGTCGCAGGGAGGAACTGTTGAAGTGGTGCTGCTCCGTCACGGTTATTCACTACCTAAGGATCAAGCTTCGTATGTCCGAGCCGAACCCCCGGCGCCAAGAAAGACGGACATGTGACGGACGGCTGACCGACGCCCTCTGTGCTACCACTGCCAGGAAGCAGACCATGTCGACCGCCGTTGCCCATACCTGCAGCTGGGGTTACGCGACTGCCGGTACGACGGGGGCTCTAGACTGGCATTTGACAAGCTAAAGCGATGACTCCAGTCGCAACTAACTCTGGGCCTCTTCGACCGATTAGCTAAAACGGAAGTTCACATAGCCGCCAGCAATACAGGACTCGGAGCAATACCGGTCCAACGACAACAGGGTGCAGAGCGCGTGGTCGCCTACGCAAATCGGACGTTATCGAACAAGGATCTCAATTAGTCGACAACCGAGAAGAAATGTCTGGCCGTCTTCTGGGCCATCACGAAATTCCGCCCGTAATTATATGAGAGCCCTTTCCGAGTGGACACCGACCATCACTCGCTGTGCTGGTTAGTGAGCTTGAAGGAACAATCGCGACGCCTCGCTCGGTGGAGCCTGAGACTTCAAGAGTAAGACGTGACTGGTATACAAGTCAGGCCGAAAACACAGCGACCCCGACTGCCTGTCCAGAACCCCCGTCGAGTCAGCTATCGGCTGCGCCAAAGACGACGACCACGACGATCGGTTTCTTGGCGCAGTGTGCGTTAACGGTATGGCAGCGCTCCAACAGGATGATCCTGAGCTTCGCGCACTGATCGACCACTTGGAGGGACGAGAGGAGCGTTTCCCCAAGCCTTTTAACGTGCCCTACCGACATACGCCGTCCGGCAAGGTATTCTCTTCAAAAATAACTTCGAGAACAGCCAGTCGACGTGACTTCTAGTAATTTCTACAAGTCTTCGAGAAGAGATCTTCCAAGCCTACCACGGCGACCCAACATCTGGTCACCTTGGCTACAACAGGACTCTCCCAAGGATCCGAGAGTAGTACTGCTGGCCCAAGCTCCCGAAGACTGTCCACCTTTACCGGAATGTCACGGATAACATACGAGGAAGGGGGGAAACAAGAGAACTAAAGATTTAATGTGGGGAAATGGAGCCAGAAAACGAATAAAATAACTGTGCGTCTTTCGCCAGCTCTCGATCCTTCTACCATACTTCTACCACGCCGACATTGACGCCCGCGACGCCAAGTTATGCCATCTTTTGTTTGGCACAAGTTTGCCACAATAAACCTCAATTTTTTTTAGTGTAACCCCTGTTTTTGTGTTATCCATCATAATATTAGATCCTGGTACGTTCTGTAACACCAATAGTCACTGAGTCTTATTAAATTTCTGCAGTTAGTACTTCATACTCGTGCAATACCAGCGTATCGCCCCTGAAAGCTGAATTAGATTTACTTAGTCTCGCTTGTCGTCGCCGCATCGTTACCTTCTGTTTGTTTCACAAGTTATGCGATTCCCCCCTCTGTATCTCTCCTTACATGGTACCTCTCACATGCATATCTCAACGCACCAGCCATCCTCTCCAGGTCGCTCGCCCCCGCGCTCGCACTGTCACTTTTTCCGCGTCATTCTTCCCCCGAGCAGCTCTAGACTGGAACAGCCTTCCCCACCACATTGCTGCTATGACCTGCCCATCAACCTTCTTCGAAAATATTACCAATCATATCTCATCGTGAAGACTAGCACCTATGTTTGAATATTTTTTGTAACCCCACCCCTTATGTAATACACCCTAAAATGGGGTCTTTAAGGTAATAAAATGAAATGAAATGAAAAATGAAAGCGCAACTGGAGCGCTTTTGTGTGAGAGAAAAACACCTAAATTGTCTTCATTTGGCCTCCAGGATTACCAATGAGGACATTATTTTTCAGTTTGATGCACCAGAGGCTACAGAAATTATTTTTTAAAGCACCGTCGAAGCCTTTTCTTCCCGACACTTGACGTCATAGAAGGAGTTTTTGGAATCCTTGCTCTCGCGCATCTTCAGCGCCTGTCAAAGCTATGCACGCGTATTGTTGCTATTTTCATAAATATCAGATATAGGCATCACGACTGGCGTCAGTGAGGAAAAATAAATCGGGCAAGCTTGTAATTGTCCGCGCTGCCCACACGAGTGACACGCACTTGTCTGTCCGAAAATCCTAGTGTGACGTCACGACCGGGTAGGCGGTTTTTCGTGTTTTCTCGCATTTAGTTACAACTTCGAGGAAAACAAACGTGATATTTAGATTCACGGTACAAACTTACAAAGGAATTCCTCTAACTTTTTTTTTCAATAAGTGTTTCAGCTTCCCTTTGACTTGTTGCAACTCAGAGATAATGTTTCACTTATTCTAATCAGCCTACTGCAGTTGAATCCCCTTGGCCTGGAAATGCAAACGATGACACATGCATTATCACATGTAACATAAGAAAAAAGAAGGAACTTTTGTTCTAAGCGGTAAGAGACTAAATATATAAATATAATTAAGTTAAAAACGAACAAGTTTAAACGCATAATCTTAAATTGATCATATAGGTGAATTGCAAAACGCATAATAAATGCCTGTAAGGACCTTTACAATCCTACAACCCATATAGCTATACTCTTCGTTTTGTATTAGTTAAGATAAAAAAGAAGACGAAACAAGATCAGACAACTTTTCTGCAAAAAAGAAAGAAAGAAAGAAAGAAAGAAAAAGAGCTGTTCGGTAGCTTTGAAATCGGTCACCAAAGGTGATGACCTTGCACTGTTTTATTTCAGTAATCCAGATCTGGCACAATTCAGTGCTCACGTCAGCGCGTCATTAATATTCACAACCCGAAACCATTCGGTTATAATAAACCACACACGCGTAGTTTTAACGGGCAGAGTGAAGCATAGGCGTACGCTATAAAAGCCCTGAAGCTGAGCAGTTCAACTAGATCCGCTTGACCATCTCATCAAGGTGAATCCCAAGACGACCATGTTCTCCAAGGTGCTCTTCGTTTGGAACTTACCGCCACCAACTTTGGATTTTGGATTATTCTGGCACTTGCTACACCCTACAATACATTAGGTAACTAGGTACTCTACCATTTCAGGTGCTTCTCTGCTGTCTCGTGGCCTACGCGGCGGCTCAGTCCGAACCTGCTGCCGTAAGTACTAATTGTGTGGTCTGATTGAAGATTAATGAGACCGACGATATTTTATGACGAACATGTATTCATATGCTGTAACCTAAATGTATAAGCGAACAAATTTTCGAAAATTGTAATGCCCTTATTCAAACTTCTTTTGCCTGTGGAGTTTTATATTTTATAATGGAGATTGAAATGGGTACATTTTTATGCATCTCGAAAATATATAATTTTTTTTTCTTTAACGAAAGCCATTTTATGCGCAAAAAAAAAAAAGTACTCGTTTGAAATTTGGTGGGCTCCCTAGAACATATTGTATTAGTCTAAATATTGTTTTGAAATAAGCTTATTTTAGGGATACTGTCTTCGCGTTGAGTTATATTAAGCGTATTCTCAGCAGTCCATTTAATTTGATACTAATAGCGACAAGTTTTAGCTATATTTATTTGACGTCAAGACCAACTTTCGAGCTTTTCATGGTGCTTCAATTCAAAGAAGACTCACATGAAATGTAACTTGTGTAATTTTTTTTTTTAAATCGACCCTATTTTCTAGCTGACAGTTAATAATATCATACTATTTTCTGTGTCTTCATGTCGGCACGTAATCCGAATCTTGGCTACATGCTAGGGGAGCGTCAGCTAGAAAACAGTGCTGTCCAAGATATTCTCTTCTGCTCAAGAAAAGCAAGCTGAGGATATTCTGTTTTATACCACTTCTTTGTTGCTCTTTTTTTCCTCCCCGACCTTTTCCCATTAAACGACAGCCACCCCAGCCGTACAGCTTCAGCTACGACAACACCGACGAGTACGGCACCCGCATCTCCCAAGAGGAGACCGGTGACGAGAACAACAACAAGGTCGGCTCATACAGCTACACCGACCCCGACGGCATCAGCCGTACCGTCAAGTACGTCGCTGACGCCGAGGGCTTCCGTGTGACCATCGAGACCAACGAGCCAGGCACCAAGACCTCCAACCCAGCCGACGCCCAGATCGTGTCCAACGCCGCCGACGACTCCTACTCCGCCAACCCCCCTTCGTCCCCAGTCAAGCCTGCCCCCCTGGCCGTGAAGGCGGCTCCAATCACCATCCACGCCGTTCAGGCCACCCCCGTGGTTCACGCCATTCACGCCGCCCCAGTGTCCTACGCCACCGCTCACCACGTCACCCCAGTGATCGCCCTCTCTCACGCTCCCCTCACTTACACCCTCGGTCGTGCCAAGAGTGCTTAAGTACGTTTCCGGTTTAAAATAGGGCAGTCATTTCTGGAAACGGAACTTTATTCGATAAAGATTAAAAAGTAATCTGCGGTGTTCCAGCACACCCGGAAACTGAAAGTTCCGAGAACCCGCTCAATATACAGTCAGAATCTTTGTATTTTTTTTAGGTGCTCATGCCGGTTTAGTTAATGAAGCTGTCCTTCCCTGATGTTTCACTTGCACTAAGAATGAAATAAATTGATTTGTTACCAAAAAATCTGTCGTTTGAGGGGTTGAAGACGACCGAGATGGTACGGAAAATACCGCGTGAGTCAAATGCATCGTTGGCCCCTTGAAGGAAACAGATAAATCTGCTTGTTAACGAGTCACGCTAAAATTTTGCGTGAAGGTGGTGGAAGATAAAGCATTCTTCTACCAATGTTTCGTTGAGAAAACTTGCCCGAGTAATAAAAAAAAGGTTAGGGGATTGAATTCACCTTTGAAGGCGGCAGTCTGCAAAGAAAAGACGTCTGGTTGAAACTACGTTCCAGATATGGCGGCAACTGTTGGCGTGTAGGCGTAGTTGACTGTCAAATAATCTTTCTTTATTGTTTATTCACTGTGTTTTAATAACAAAATCACAAAAATTCTGGTCCCAAACCAAAAAAAAAAAAAAAGCCTGCTTTGAATTTGGATAATATGTACTGCCTGCTTTCGGAGATAAGTATCCGCCCGCCCCCTCCTACCTGCCTTCATCTCTCGGTCGTTCCGCATTCAGACTCCTTTTGTCAGTAGACGGAAACCGTAATTAGCGAAACCAGGCTCTTCATTTCTCCCTTACCCCCCAGGTGGGGTTATTCGTTAAACTGTGATGCACAAAATGCCACATCTGCTGCCCCTGTACTAGAATTTAAAAGGGTAACGCAACAATTTTACTGCTTTCATTAAATACCACTTACAATTACTTCTTGAATATTATAACCTATAAAAGAAGCCTTCGATTTTTTTTCTTCTTCAAGCAATGGCTGTCGCGTTAAAAAAAAAGATAGAGAAAAGTGATCGGCGTAAATCCCTCAGGTCGCAATAAGAACAAGCGACCACGTGCCCTGGAGAAGATTATATGCCACCAATGTTTAGCATGGCCTTGCTCGGGGGTTCGTAAAGCGCCAAGCAATCGATAAGTTCCACGTATCGTTAAGCTTTATCTACTCCCGTGATGCCAGTGATTAGGTGATTAGGCACGAGCCGCGAATGCATGTCGAGACATTGATTGTCCCAAGGCCAAATGAAATGATTACGTAGTGCTCATGTCCATTGTATGAGCCACATTTAAATATAGTCAGAGCTTGGCTGCCAAAACTTCCTGACGAAATCCTGGGGTACGCCAACAGTGTGATTCCCGCAACTTCGTCAGCAAATCTTGCGAAGAGGCCGAAAAAACAAAGTTCGCTTTCACCCGTGAAATTTTGCGGCCACAAATATGCGTCTCGGTCAGTAGCGTTGCGTGCAAGTATACTTAAGTCTAAAAAGTGCATGTAAGCTTTTGTAAAGTGAGGAACATTCGTATCTAATATTGCCGCGCGCGCAGCTGGCCAAGTAGGCAGCGCGCGCGTGGCCTAACGGTTATCGCGCTTGCTTTCCACGCTGAAAGCCAGGGTTCGATTCCTGGCCGTGGAGGCGCATTTTTTTTACTCTGTAAAGTAATGTTCTGGTAAGTTCGAGAACCATTTTGCTTCTTCGAGGTCAGAATGTTCTACACGCCGAGCTTTCTACGCCGATTATTCCAGAAGCCCACACGTGTACATAAGGGGCTCCGCGTGGCGATCTGCAGTCAGTTTCGCCACAGCGTTCGACTCTGCTGCTACGCCGACTTCGACGCCCGCGACGCTCTGTTATTATCTTTTGTACCATTTTATTTTTGGCACAAGTTCGCCACAATAAACGTTTATTTATTTCTGTTTAGTTCTTGTTTATTGGTCACCACCCGTGAAATTCGGTGGAGGTGCGGGGTACCGCATGCCCGTGGAGCGTTCCCCTCCCAGGGCCCGCAGTGCAAGTCCGGTTCCCAGCTCGGTGAGAAGACCACTCACCGCGGAACCTGAAACTCGGACCAGCCGCCGCACCAAGGGAGAGGATCCTGACTACGGTTTACTGCTGGACACGCCCAAGCCGAAAACGACGACGATGGCCAACCAGTCGCAGAACCCCGCCGCTCCTGCCGTCGTCTACCTACCTGTCGCTCCTCGGACACCAGCTCCCTTCCACAGCGAAAGCAACGAAGACATCGACGACTGGGTCCAACAGTACGAACGAGTGGCCTGTCATAACGGGTGGACGCCAGAACAGTGTCTACAGAATGCTTACTTCGCCTTGGAAGCGACCGCTCGGAACTGGTTCGAGAACCACGAAGCATCGATCACCTCCTGGGAGCAACTCAAAGCTGAGTTGCGAAGAACGTTCACAAACCAACAACCAAGAGAACGCGCGGAAGAACTTCTTCAAGCGAGGATCCAAGGCCCTAACGAGAGCATCGTCAGCTTCGTGGAGGATGTCCTGCGACTCAGCAACCGCGCCGATCCTCAAGCCTCCGAAGCGAAGAAGCTGAGAATCCTGATGCGAGGCGTCAAACAAAGCATCTTCGGCGGCCTTGTGCAAGCCCCGCCTACCACAGTCGAAGGATTCATGACGGAGGCAACAAACATTGAACGTGCCCTTCAAGCACGGGCCTGCCATTACCAGCGACTTCCCGGCGTCGCGGCCCTCTCGACTTCCAGCTGCAACAGCCCGGACCTCCGCGAGATTATCGGCAACGTCGTGCGAGAGGAAATCAGGAAGCTGCTACCTGATGCCACAAGCCCGACTACGCCCTCAGTAGCCGAGATTGTCCGGGAAGAACTTCAGCAGGCGCTGCAGCCAGAAGTTCTCGCCAGCGCCGCTCCTGAACTACCGAAGCTGAGCTACGCCGCAGCTACCCGACGACCACCGCCCCCTGCTCACCCGTATACGGCGCCACCTCGACGTGAACCTCTAGCGCCACAGTATTCGCGACGCCAGGAAGATCGGGCGTACGTCCGCCCAGAACAAGCTGCGCCACGAAAGACCGACGTGTGGAGGACGGCCGACCGACGCCCGTTGTGTTATCATTGCGCTGAAGCCGGCCACATTTACCATCGATGCCACTACCGACAACTGGGACTGCGCTGGTTCCACCGGAACGACCCGCGCCCAAGGTACGACGAACGCCCTCGTGACATCGAAGAGTACCTCCGACGTTCGCCATCCTCAACGCCGCTCCGCCGTGAGTCCCGCTCACCGTCGCCCAGACGTTCAGCGTCTCCAGCGCCACGACCCCGCCGAGAGAGCCTGTCTCCTTTGCGCCGCCGGGAAAACTAAGTGCGGCAACGCCTGGAGGTGGCGTTGCCGAAGACGACCGAAGTAAAGAGCCTCCAAGAACGCCGGAGCGCTCCCACGCTCTCGACGATACATATCACAACGACGTCCCTGCATCGGTGTCCAACAACTTAAACATTACTATCGACGGCCACGACGCATTGGCACTCGTGGACACCGAAACAGACTACTCAGTCTTGAGTGGGATGCTCTCTCGTCGCCTGCGAAAAGTAATAACGCCGTGGGAAGGCCCTCAAATACGAACCGCCGGTGGGCTCCTCATCACACCAGTCGGGCGATGCACTGCTCGCGTCGAGATCCACGGTGAGACGTGCCCTGTGAAGTTCGTCGTCCTGCAAGACTGGGACGTTATCTTCGGAATGGACTTCCTCTGCGAGTATGGCGCCGTCATCAACATCGGAGCAAACCGGTTGACGCTACGAAAACCTTTTTCACCACCGGAGGAACCCAAAGCGACGTCATCTGCGGTCCGAGTCCTCGCCAGCCACGTGAACGTACCGCCACGGTCGAGTGTTTCCGTACCCGTCGTGATCACCGAAGCTTGCTCCGGCGAAGTTCTGCTCGAAGGAAGCTTCCAGTTGCTTCTTGGAAAAGGAATAGGCGTCGCAAGAGGAGTTGTTGAACTTCAGGATGGCCGCATTGTGGTCCTCGTTACGAACTTCCGAAATGAAGCGCAACACCTCACAAAAGGTGCAGCCGTGGGCCAGGTCGAGGAACTTCGAAACTCCGCCGCTATCGCCGCCATTACTGACGAATCCTCGCCACCTCAGCAGAAGAGTACGTCGCCAGCGCAGCTCGACATTGACCCTAAGCTTCCGGGCCCGAAACGACGGCAGCTGCTTAACCTTCTCACCGAATACCGGGATTGCTTTGCGACGTCGCCGAAGGTGCGCCAAACCACCGTTCCGAAGCACCGCATCGTTACCGAGGACGACGCGCGCCCTGTGCATCGATCGCCTTACAGAGACTCCGTTAAAGAAAGGGAGGTGATCCAGGAACAAGTTCAAGAGATGCTGAACGACGACATAATCCAACCTTCAAGCAGTCCGTGGGCCTCCCCAGTCGTACTGGTTAAGAAGAAGGACGGAACGCTTAGATTCTGCGTGGACTACCGGCAGCTGAACGCGGTGACGAAGAAAGACGTCTATCCACTCACCCGCATCGACGACACGTTAGACCGGCTGCGCCACTCTCGATACTTCTCATCAATGGAGCTGAAGAGCGGCTATTGGCAGATTGAAGTCGAGGAACGGGACCGAGAGAAGACAGCTTTCGTCACGCCGGATGGGTTGTACGAGTTCAAGGTGATGCCCTTCGGACTGTGCACGGTGCAAGCAACTCTCAGCGTGTCATGGACACCGTACTGGCAGGACTGAAGTGGCAGAGCAGTCTTTTCTACCTCGACGACGTCGTGGTGTTTTCCAGCGACTTTGATGAGCACTTGCGACGACTCCGAGCAGTTCTCCAAGCCATATGGACCGCCGGACTTACCCTGAAGCCGTCAAAGTGTCGGTTCGCCTACGACGAACTGAAGTTCCTAGATCACTTGGTTAGTAACGAAGGCGTTCGCCCCGACCCAGAGAAGACTCGCGCCGTCGCTGCCTTTCCGATGCCGACTGAAAAGAAGGCCGTGCGAAGATTCCTTGGACTATGTGCGTACTATCGGCGCTTCATCCGGGATTTCGCAATGATTTCCGCACCGCTCACTAACCTCACAAAGGACGTCAAGAAGTTCGAATGGGCCGAGGAGCTGCAGCAGGCATTCGACAAGCTGAAACGACGACTGCAGGTTAATTTCCACCAGCTCGCCTGCGCACTCACTACACTACAATATCCCCCTGTTCTAGGACATTTCGATCAAGATGC